GATATGAAATTGCTGGATTGGATGTGTTTATTTTCTGTTTTCTTTTTTCTTTCTTTTTTGTGTCTTTTCTTTATGAGTATTGGAAGGACTATGAGGCTTTTTTTTCATCTTGTCACCATTATTGTATTGATTTATTGTTTGTCTGTCTGTATGTAAATATCTGCTTGTAAATAGTGCTTACATATTCATATACAAGGTGTGAATATTTTTCCCAAGGTCAAATACTATTTTCGTAAACCTCTATCTCTATTTCGCCATTTTATTCCGTTTCTTTCCATTCACATCCCTCTCATTATTATTATTCATTTACTTATGTATTTATCACATCCCTCTCATTATCATTATTTATTTTCTTATTTGTGTATTTATTTTTTTACAATTTAATCCAGCAATTTTCCCAAAGCGGGTCCATTGCAAGTCCCGTGTCCCATTGCGCTGTTAAGGATAAACTCTACGGAGAAGCGACGCCGCATTTAAGTGGCGGTCGTGAGGTTTGAGATTCCCAAGTATGCAGCCGTTTTCGCACGTAGGAAGTCTGTGTGTGTGTTGTGTGCGTGTGCGTGTGTGGTGTGTGTGTGTGTGTGTGTGTGTGTGTGTGTGTGTGTGTGTGTGTTTTGTGTGTGTGTGTGTGTGCGTGGTGTGTGTGTGTGTGTGTGTGTGTGTGGTGTCTGTTTTATGTTTTGTGTGTGTCGTTCGTGTGCGCGGGCATTTATCTGTCTTCCTGTGAATTTAAGGTCCAAAACTTATTCCTTAAAAAGAAAAAAACGACCTTATGACCCCAACCTGACCATTTCTACCTCCCCACACACACATACAAACAATCTCTGCCGTATAGTAAATAACGAAGTGTCTCGGGATTTGCAAAACGCGTTTGTTTGTTTTTGTATGTTATTGTAGTCGTCGCTCGTGCCATCTCTGGGGCTTGTTTCTCGTTTTATTTGTTCTGTTTTCTCTCTCCATAGAATTACCTTATGTTTTGTTTTTGTTTTAGAAAGGAAGAAGAGGAAGAAAGGAGGGAGGGAGAGAGAAAGAGAGAAGGGAGGGGCGGAGAGTTGGCAGGACAGGCAAACACATACAGACAGACAGACAAACACAGACACAGTTAGACAAATACACAGAGACAGACAAACAGACAGACAGACAAACACACAGACACACAGGCAGACAATCAAACACATACAGACAGACAAACAAACACCACAGACAACAGTTAGGACAAATACACAGACAGACAGACAAACACACAGGGACAGACAGACAGAACAGACAAACAGACAGACAGACAGACAGTCAAACACAGACAGACACATATACAGGTAGACAGACAGACACAGACAGACAGACACAGAGACAGTTAGGCAGACACAAACAGACAGACAGCGAGGCAAGGCGAGGCGGAGGCAGAGAGCCCGCAGGAGGCGAGAGCGCGCGCGCGCGCAGAGAGCGGGCGAGATTCCCACTCTCCGCCAAGCGACCTCCTCCTCCTCCTCCTCCCCTCCTCCCCTCCTCCTCCTCCTCCTCCTCCTCCTCCTCCTCCTCCTCCTCGATCACCCCATAACTAACCTATCCGCCTCTCTTTCCTCTTCGCTTTATTGGTTTCCCGCTGTTTTCTCCCAGGTCTCGTCTTTTTCTTTTTGGTCTTTGTCTTTCTCTCCTCTTCTCTTCTGTTTGTTCATCTTGGTTTCGCTTTCTCTCTCTCTTTTTATCCTCTTCTTTTTCTTCATCTTGGTCTCTCTCTCTCTCTCTCTCTCTCTCTCTCTCTCTCTCTCTCTCTCTCTCTCTCTCTCTCTCTCTCTCTCTCTCTCTCTCTCTCTCTCTTCTCTCTCTCTCTCTCTCTCTACTCTCTCTCTCTCTCTCTCTCTCAGTCATCGTCAACACGTGTTTTGCCATTGCTATTGTTAATGTTATTGTTG